CTCCCGTGCCCTGCCCCCTGCCGTAGCTGTGGCGGCAGCGCAGAGCATCGCTGACGGAGGCAGACGTGGCCGCCTGGGCGAGAGCTTTAGGCCCTCTCCTATGAGAAAGGCTTTGTGGGCAGCACAGGAAAACTTGCATCGCAGCTTAACCACGTAGGCCGGCCAGGGGGAGAGAGGACGTCTTTCCCCAGAGCTGAGACGCAGGTGTCTTGCATACTGGTGAAGAAATCTTGAAAATACAAGTGCTCTATTACTGTAGTTTACCTGCTGATTGCTAGGGCGGTCCTGAAACTGGAAAAAGCCTACTGAGGTCTTCTCACCATCCTTATTTTTGTTTTTTTTTTAATGTGATTTAAATTCCCAACCTATTTCTATTGCAGCTTAAATTGCAGACTGCTGGAAATAACGCCACTGAATTCAGTTGGTTATTTATTGGGCGTACTTATGTGTGATTTTTTAACACCTTCAGATTAACCTTACGCTGTGAATCCAAGCCACCAACTATTAATCAGAACCTCTGCTCTGTAAGCACATGCTCAAAAGCATTGCAAACGATTAACAGTTTTTGTTTGGAAGTGCACGGGTTAATTTCCACAGTAATGATTGCTGAAATTGTAGCACACACAAATCATGGTTACAGGGGGTGGGTGTGCTGTGAGGTGTGACAAAAGTTAGTCTTGTAACCCATCAAAATGGGTTTTTCTTCTTGGGGGTCGAGTGATAAAATCCTCTTGGTTACCCAAACGCCTCTCCGGGTTTGCTCGCTAACCTGTTACAAACTCCTGCTGTAACCAAAGAGCAGAGTAAGGCGCAGGCATGCGGCGGGGAGGAGGGCTCCCCTTTGAACAGGGCGCTGGGCCGGTGCCGTCACGGTCGCACGCGATTAGGCGGGGACGTTCCTTACTCCTGTTGAAAGCTGCAGGAACCGATTTTTAACGGCACTCTAGAATGGGTGCGTGGCCGGGAGGAGCACGGAATGGGGCAGGCCAGCTGGGGAGCCCCAGCGTGAGGTCGGAAGGGCTGGAGCAGGAAAGGGGGGGCGAGGGCCACAAGGGCAGAACTACCCCCGAGGGTGCTGGGAGCCACCCCTGCGGCGTGACTCGGTGAACCTGGGCCTGAGGAGCTCCCCCTGCTCATCCGGGCCAAGGACAAGAGGGGATAAGTGAGCGAGCGTAATTAAATAATAAAGTTTGTGGCCGTGAAGAGGATTTATATGCTCATTTTCAGCCAGCACGGTTGTTCTTTACTCATCAGCAGTTTGGGCTTATGCCCTCCCTGTCCTACAGAATTTTAAAATGCCTGGTTTATTTAAATGAATAGATACGCTCATATTCTCCCCTCCTTCCAGATAGAGGGATTGGATTAATTTTTCTGCATGAGTTTGTCTGCTGCTGGCTCTGCAGCTGTATGTCATTGGCTCCTCTCAATGATCAAAATGAAATGCTTATTAAATCTGCTTGCTTTTATTCACAGAAAGATGAGCCAGATGCTTTTAAGGAATTGGGAACAGGCAACAGAATTGCGACTTGGTTGTTTTATGTAAGTGATATATTTCTGCCATGTGCTAGTGCCAAAAATATCTATCACTGCATATTCTCATATTCTATCCCGCTGAATGATTTCATTACAGTTTTTTACTGCAAATGAAGGCAGACACTGACTTAGCGGTAATACAGCCGGGGTATCTTCTTACCCATAAGTAATGATTCTTAACCAGGGTCTTTTCCTCAAAGTTGAGCGTCAGCTTAAATTAATTGACCGTCTATTCAGTTTTATCTCTGCATCGGTATTCATGGCACGCTCATTGCCAAAACATCTGAGCGTGCAACACTTAGGGACAAGGCTGGCAGTTGCACTTTGCTCAAAGTGGGGGGGTTTCAGCCTGGTTTAAGGCTGTTACGTCGCGCAGCCTTTGCTCGCTGATTGGGAAGTAGAAATGAAGTTGTTCGATAACCTAATTCTGTTTTACTAAAACGTGGTGCCTGGGAATGTATCAGCTTGCAGCTTACCTGTGCCTTCCCCTCCTTTTCAGATGAGCGATGTGTCAGCAGGGGGAGCTACCGTCTTTCCTGAAGTAGGAGCTAGTGTTTGGCCTAAAAAGGTAAGCTGGGCTTTTTAGCCAGTGTAACCACTCCTCTCGCCACCTACTCAAAAATACAACAGATGTATAAACGTTTAAAAAGCAGCTTTAAAATGAGTTTATCTAAAGAAGATCAGAGCGCTGTTCGTGGGAGCACAGAGGTACTTACAATTAAGTGAGACCGCTGGAGTGGTACTGGTGATCCCAAGGGCCTCTGATGGTCTGCATGGTAACGCATAGTTACGTTTTGGGCTTAAACCTTTAGACTTTACTAAACGTTACAGTACTTCAAAACACATTTTGAAAATACTCAAATCTGTAAGTAGGTTTAGTCCTGAGGCGCCTGTAGGGAATTCTCCCTGAACCTGAGTGTTCCTGTTACCTTTTTTCCCTCGGAAGGGTCACAAACAAGGTCTGTCTTCGCTGGCCTGCTGCTCATTTTCAGCAGATTATCTTCCTTTCTAAAACTGGTCAGAGTTGAATGAAACTGGGTTTAAACTTAGGGTTTAAAAAAGATTAACAGCCGAGTATATACAGACACAGAACGAGTCAAAGGAGACTCATTTCTTAGGAAAGCAAATGACAGAACGTGGAAAGAGAGCGGTCAATTTAAAAGGGACGTCTGAAATACAAACAGACGTTACCTTTGCCTTATCGTTAAGCTGGTGCGGAAGCGTGTGTCGCGGAGAGCACGGTGCTGAGGGTTTCCACTGCCATTTCCAGGGCACAGCTGTATTCTGGTACAATCTCTTTCCAAGCGGAGAAGGAGATTACAGCACGCGGCATGCAGCCTGCCCCGTACTAGTTGGAAACAAATGGGGTAAGTACCCCTCACCTCGCTGTCGCTGCCTGGGGCTTTGCTGGTGGGTTGTCTTGGTTTTCTTTCTCCTCTGGTGGAATAAAGAGCAGCCAGAAATCAGGCCCTTTATAAAGAAATCTGCTTTATAGCTATATCTACTTCATCTCTCTCTATATTATGTTTATATATATGTTATATATACAGTAGCATATTTTATGATATATATAAAATACATGTAGTACTATATCTAGGCTTTTGTAGTTTTGCAGCCGCCAGAGGGTTTTTTCCCTTCTTTGATTTATTAGGCCAACTTCTGATCCGTGTGCGTGTATTAAAATCCTTTAGAAAGTTAAGATAACCCTGTGCTTACCTGACTGAAAGGGCTGGAAGGGGCTGCCCAGGGAAGGGGTCAAGTCCCCAGCCCTGGGGGGATTTAACAGCCGGGCAGAGGCGGTGCTGAGGGCCGGGGTTTGGGGGTGGGATGGCAGGGGTAGGGGAACGGTTGGGCTGGGGAGCTTAGAGGGCTTTGCCAACCCAAACGATTCTGTGGTTCTGTGACAGCTGGCCAAGAGCATGTCTTTAGCTTAACGAGAAGCACGAGCTAACCAGGTGCAGTGATCAAATACCTTTATGTCTTTGCAGTATCCAATAAATGGCTCCACGAGCGGGGACAGGAATTCCGAAGGCCGTGCACTTTATCAGAGTTGGAATGATGCAGGCTCATCCTCTGTCTCCTCTGTACTCAGTCTGTGTAAAATGCACACATCTCCTTACAGTTTACAATTGACTAACACTCCACTACAGGTCCAGTCTTCAGCTACACCGGTGTTTTCATCTGTGGACAAAACAAACGTGCTTTTAGTTCCCTTAAAATATCCCCTCCCTTAAGGTTTTATGAACAGAATCTATTAAGGTCTGTGAGTGTTACAGGAAAAAAAAAAAAAAGGACAAAAATACAGATCAGGGCCACAACTAACAGTGGTGTCATGTGTGGTGTTGCCTTCACCATCGCCCCTCTGATCAGCGTGGAAAGCTGGCGATTGTTCGCTTAGAGTCCTCCTGGCAACAGACTGCTAAGGGGGGGGTGCTTTACGGGAGGGCTCCCTGCCTAGGAAGGCCGAATTAAACCGGTTCCTATTCCTCAATTTCCAGACATTCGCTTCCTTGCTTTTCTGGGGTGCCCGACCACTGCTGTTGAGAACTGCGGGCATGGTTCGTGTTTCTCTGGGGAACAGGAAGTTATTACAATATTGTAGCCCATTTTTCCACTTCCACAAAAGCCCCCATTTTTAAATGTCTTCCTTCTCAGCCTCTGTGGGGAATTTGGCTCTGAACCTTGAAAACACGATCCAGCAGTTACGTACGCACAGCTGAGCTCCAGCAGCATTGTGTCAAACACATGCCTGCACCAGAGCAGCCTGACAACAGTTACAGCCCGCCTTCCCTCCGTTTTGGGTTTGGGTTTTGGTTTTGGTTTTTTTTTTTTCCTTTAACATTTGTCCACGTAAACAAATGCTGCTTTTCTTCTGTCTTAGTAGTCAACTCTTACGTCTGTTCCTTGGGCAGTGGGGATGGGAACGTTACCCCATCTTCATTAATCAAAGTAATTGTGCCTTAGGACACTGGAATTTCAAATTGGTTATGAGACTTCAGGTGATGAGGTCATACCATAATCCTCACAGAATGCTCTCCACCCTCGTCCTCCCAGTTCTCAAGGTTTTGTGACAAGCAGATGGCCTATTTATAATCCTAAACCTTTTTTAGATGCTTTTTTTATTTTGCAAATGTGCTTTCTGCGGCGGGTGCTGACTGCAGGCCGCAGCAGCGACGCGCCTGTACCCACGGGGGGACTGTTGGCAGAGGATGCCGGGAGGTGCCCGCTCTGGATGGTTTGGCGTTGCTCACCTGGGGGAGAGG